TTAAACGAACCTCTGCCTTAACAAATGGGGTCTCGTGTGTTGTCCCCTGCCCCAAAAGTGTTACATCTGCACTTCTAATTGGCATTAACACTTCAATTATTTGTCTGGTTGCTGCTTTCATAATCCTCCAACACACTAAATGTGGTGTTAACTTTGGCTTTAAAAGGACCTTCATGTTTGCATGAAAAACATTAAATAGGTGACTTTAAAATGACCAAACCCCTAATGTCAGATGAAAAGAAGTGAAAATATTTTTATCACGTACTTTAAAGTTAGGACTAATCCATAAAATGTGAATGCTTGAGGATGAGGGCTTAGTTCTACTGACCTCTATCTTTCAGGATACAGGAATAAAATAGTCCTTCGTTTTCTTGGCTTTAGAACCTTATTGACAACCTACTAAAGTTAATGGAAAGATTTCAGTAGGTTGTTTTGGGTTTTTGTTTTGTTTTGTTTTAAAGGCAAATAAGCTTTACAACAGAGCTCCCTCTTATTCGAGGATATTCTGACAGGTAGACTATCCCTCTAAACTCTTGGTTGGAAACTCCCCCAAATCAGAGAAAATACAATTCTGCTTCTCAGAAGAGAGCAAATCTGAGGGGCTCCAAGGGCACTGACCCTACAAGCCTTAATAAATACACTGAACTGCAAAACTGAAAACCACCACAAAGCTAGAAAAAGGCCAACGTGTGTGATAGAAAGACAGCAATTTTACTATAAAAGCAGAAGTCTATGAAAGAGGCAAGTGGAAGAAATAGACCGCAAGTACAAATAACACGCAGTAAAAATTCACTAGAAAAATAAAACCATTTTGTTAGGGAAAAATGTAGCATCATCAAAGACAGAATATAAGCAAGAAAATGGAAGAAAACAAGCTATTTAAATCTTCTTAACTAAGAAATTGGTTGGCTTAAATTAATCAATATTCAGATTAGCTAAAATGAAGTGTTTACATGATCTACACTGTTAAAACTTAAATGAGTTGGTCTGCTAAGTTTTTTCTTTTCTTCCTTTGAAATTACTGAGGTTTTAAAATGTTAGAAGCAACTATTGATGTCTGCTCTGTGAATGTCACTTACCCATACAGGAACTTTACTTCTCAGTGTGTAATGTAACTCCTAATTCCTTGAAAAAAATTAAGTTACCATTTCATGAAACATTGCTGCCCTAATTTTCTTAATTGCTGCATTAAATCTTTTTGTCATTTTCCTGACCAATGGATATATCTGTTGAACTAGTTATAAAGGGCTTTTTCATACACCTACTGTCACCCTAAACAAAAAGGCCTGACAGATGATACTGATGTTGAAAACAAAGTTTGAAGTTTCATAATTGGCTGAAACTTGATGCTTGATTTTTCTCCCATAAGAGCACAAGAGCTCCTTATTAAAACCATAGTAAAAGGTAAGGATGGCTTCTTTGTTTGGTACAGTGCAATACAGTGACAAATTAAAGAGCTGTTCAAAGAAATCGCATTTAGGGAGGCTAACAGCCAAATCAAACAGTGAGGGCTGGTAATGTGGATGGGAACAGTGCATTATCATGCCACTGGGGATATGGGATTCAGATTATAATTCTTAGACTCAGTTCTACATCTGGGAAGAACTAGTATGCCAACAAATTTGTTGTAGTTGTCATTTCCCTTATTGCACTGCTACAACACCTTTGTTTAGAGTATATAAGATAGCAGAGACAAAGCCATCCATTTCTCACAGGAAAAAGATTAGGGTAAAAGGGAAAGGAAAATTATTACAGTGTTGAATATACAATATTACTACAACTTCAGCTGTTTTGATTTCAGGTGTTTGGTGAGCCTTTTACATGTTGTCCCTGAAAAATCAGCCTTGTAACAGCACTGCAAACTACCATTAAGTCAATGGATCATGTATTAGCAACTATCAAATTACATGTTGTGTAATACCTTGCAGGTGGGGAACATGAAGCACCCAGCACATACTCCCCATGGCAGGGAGGTTGGACTAGGTGATCTTTAAAGGTCCCTTTGAACCCAAACCATTCTATGATTCTATGATTTAAGTTAAAGTAAATATATATGTTGGTTTGTAGAATTGATAGCATGATTTAGGTGCAAAGACTGCCCTGGACAGCTATGCTTGCCAAGGTGTTAGGCAAGGCATTTAAACTTCTGCAACTAGATATACTTTCCCACCTTTCACCTGGCTTGTTTATTTGGATAACAGGCTCTTAAGAGACAGGGCTCTCTTGCATACCTTCTGAACAAAGAGTAGCTCAAGGGGGACTCATTATATTACTCTGATACTGCTATTAAAAAATGTCGCTGCACATGGCCACAATGTAGGGCAGGATGGTTATGAAGAGGCAGCCGTGGAAACCTCTGCTCTAGGAACAACAAAGCGTATTTCAAAAAAGAGCAGCCTCCTCATGCTATCATGTCTGCACATATAATGTAGTTTAACCACATCAGTATGTGGTACAACTGCGTACATGTATGTGATACAACCGTGGTGTAACTGTGTACATACAAATAAAAGCATATGTGAAATTGGAGAACAGATGACAATTTGGATTGTCACTCAGGCTGCCACTAGGAAGATGCCAGTTACATGTGTCATGTATTTTTCCTCACATAAAATTCCATTCCTGCATAGTAGTAGCTAATTTAGTGCCTATCTTCATGGTAGCATAGTTACAGTTATTTTTTCCGTTCACTGATTTGCATATTTCACTGTGGAATGCCATCCTCCATTTTATCATGCAGCATTTTCTGCCATAAGATCCTCTGAACCTTTTGGTGGTCTGTCTTTGTTTCAGCTGTTCAGACTGATTCTTTACTATCAGCATACTCCACCTCAATCCTCCCACCACCTTTTCAAAATTGTTTCTGAAGATGCTGAATGCAGGTCTCAGCATGGATCCCTGTGAGATGCCACCAGAATTTCTCCATTCTAAAAAAAGGCCACTTATTCCTATCTTTTCACTTCTAATTCGTGTCTCAAAGAATCTTTACTCTCATCCTATGAGAGACTAGTCTCTAAAAAACATTTGTTGAAATCTGTCTCCAAAAGGTCTTTAAGCTAAAATACACACATATTGACCTGATCATCCTCATCCATATGTTTATTGTCTTCATAGAATGACTCAGAAGATTTGTCATGCATTAATTTCTTTTACAAAAAAAAAAGAGTTCAACTCTTCCCCAATTATAATTTTTCTTTATTATAATTTCTATTAATTTCCTTCAGATGTAAATCAGACATATTGTTCTGTTCCTGCCAAATTCAGCCATGGAGTCCTTTTAAAATATTTGGTTATACGGCCATCTTCCATTCCTCTGATTCCAGGACTGCACATCACATAGTTCATCAGTTCTGTGTTTTAGTTCCCTCAAAGCTCTTGGGCATCTGCCATATGATCCCATTCTTTGTTTCTTTCTTTCTTTTTTTTTCCTAAAACTTCTCCAAACATTTCACAGTCAAAAATGATCCCACAGATACATCATCTGTCCAAATACAATTATGCACTGCCTAATTTGAAATAAACAGTCTTTCAATATAGATCATGAAAGTTTTCCATATACTAAAGAAAAAAGAAAAATGATGAACAAATTAGGCCATACTTTCTCACATTAGCTAAGTCTGGGGAAAAATACAGTTTAAAAAGCTGAAAAAAGTCTGAAAAGCAGATCTACATAGGCAACATTTCCGTCATTCCTGTCATCATGTTCACCTGAAGAAAGGCCTATTGGCAGTGTGCCACATGCCTTAATTACAGGGCTGCCAACTTTATGCTTGGACTCCAGATGCTCCCCATGGTTTCTTTCCAGACAGGTACTTTCTTATGCAGTAGAGTGGCAGGTGACATTTGATTGTAAAAGCAAAACATTCAGTATCACACTAAAGTTTGAAAAAGCAGCGTAGGTTTGTCTTACACACCTCTCTGGCTGGATGGCATTCTTAATTCATTCTTAATTAAGGAATGATCACCTGCCTTTCTACCTCATCATACAGGCAAGATCATTTTACAGGTAAAGTAATGCCTATTTTTTGCATCTTAAAGGAGGAGGGTTTGTGCAAATGTTCATATACCTCTAAGAGTATGAGCTCTTTTATGAGACAATATGATACATGCCAGGAGTTTGCTATGAGGTATTCTTCTTATCTTTACCAAACCTCTCTTTTTTTAAAAAAAAACCACGAAAAAAATATGGAACCAATCTATTTTATTTCACAGCTGTGAATACTCTGCTAAAGCGTGCATGAAATAAACTATTTGCAGTAGTCCTTGTGGAGAAACCATGCTTTTTCTTAAGATTAGACAGTCAGGGTTGAGCGAAAATGAATATTCTTCTAAACACATTACTGTAACTCAGAAGACAGACTCTTAGCCTTAATAATAGCAACAATGATAATAAACAATAGTGTTGTTAGTAATAGAATATATTTCTAAATGTCAGTAATGGTATTTTTAAACAAAAAAGGCTAGCAATGTAGTGTAAATGCGTGCTATGAGGAACATTAGCATGTAGCTGCCAGACAATCTCAATGAAGGATTTCATTGTTTAATTATGAAATCATTGTGTTTGATATTATTATACACATACACTCCAGATCTGATGCAGATCACATTCAAGAAAGATTCCAAGCAGCCTCAGAGGTCATCGTTAACCCTCTGCCAAGCAGTTTATAAATAATTATTAAATAAATCCATAGGTTATACCTAGTTCTAGAACAGTTTCTACAGTGTTATTTGTTGCTCATTGTGATGAAAGCATGGTTAAGGTAGAACAGAAAACATTGTTTTCTGTTTTTCTCTAGACCACATAGATATGTAAGGACACACCTATGTACCATTTTCAAATGGCTGAGCGCAAAATGTCATTTACAGATTCTTCCTTTCAGACACATCTGTTCTGCACCCGTTCTTTTAATGTTTGTTTCTATACATCATCTCCCGATATTCAAAATACTTGTCCTCTTACAGAAACTTTCACTTGGACACATGAAAAAATATCCTCCTACCTTTAGCAGGTAAGCTTGGCAGTCACTGACATAATCATACTCCAATCCGTCAAAGGTATAATAATGTCGATCTCCATAAATAGTGCATACAGCAGGACAGGGATAACTAGTGCAATTGAATATCCCTCTTCGACAAACACTGTAAGGAAAATTAACAATCAGTATCTTCTCATAGCAGGGTCATTTTATTTTCAAGAAAAAACTTTCTTGGGTTCTTTATTTCAAGTCATACATAAATTCATGAAAGGAAACTAATTCTCAGACCCTGAAATACAGAGCTATTCTGTGGATTGCTTCTGAAGTTATTGCTGATGCCATGGCAGAATAGCGTTGAGCATTTTGCCATCAGCACAAATGTACAATAAAAATTCATAAATGATTGCAAAATCTTAAAATCTTTATGGCTTATGCAAATATTTCCATCCAGCCTCCAATATAGATGAGCCACCATGCTACAACATGCTCACTCATAAAACACTAGTATTATTTTTTTCTTAAGAAATTTTGATAAAAATTTGCATATATTCAGTGCAAAAGACATCCAGTTACTACTTGTAAGATTTCAGGATATCAGACAAGTACAGAATGAGTTTAAGAAATAAATGCTGATGTTTTGGAGGATTACTTTTCCTGTCAGCTACATTCAGTGACTTAAATGAATTTGTATGAAGGTAGTACTGACAGCCTCTAGTTCTGCTTGTGTAAGTGTGTAAGCCCAGTTGATTTGCCAATGAAGTTTTTCACTGATTAAAAGCTGCCATGCTAAACCTTATTTTTTTATTATTAAGCATATAATTAAATGAAGATAGGTATTCTGGCTAGCAAATTATAATGGATGAAAAACCATTTTGCGTCAATATGAGTCAGGTAAAGCTCATCCTGCAAACAGTCCAGTTCCCAAAGGAGCAGGCTATTTACCACTGTCATACATTTAATTTCTCTTTTTTTCTCCTTGGTTGTCTTTCATGATATTTTATTCTCCAAAATGCCAAATGTCTTTCTTTCAGAGATTAACTTATATATGTGGAATCAAGCATTTGTTCTTGACTACTTTTTAACTTGGATATCTTCTGCTTCTTTTTCAGACCTGAAGCACTCTCCCAAAAGTCTGCCTACTCTTCCAAGTCTATTAGTAAGCCCGATAAAATATATATCCTGTAACTGTCTATAAACAAGCATATACATTTTTTATTTTCAATGTACTCAACAAGTTTTCTGTATCAGTTTCACTTTATGGCTAGACCCAGATGATTTGGAAGTATGCAAAATGCATGTCACTCACCAGGTGTAACATGGTGTAGCTATCACTTCTCCTGACAGAAATTCCCTGTCTTTCCAGGTGCATGGACAACTGTCAGGAATATAACATTTCCCTCTGTGCTCAGCCATCCTTCAAAATAAAACAATTATTAAAATGAAAGCATAAATTCACAAGTAGATCAACATAACTGAATGTGTAGTGTATTGTCTAAACCCCACCAAGGTCAACTGGTCTTTCATCCAGCCAAGGACAATTGTTTCAGCAGCAAAAGCTGTCCAAGTCCAATGATCTCCACTGTGAATAGCTGAAGACTTCAGAAAGCTCGCTGCTGCAACTTTCTTTCTACCTCAAAAGAGTAGTGTAAAAAAGTTGGTGTAGGAGCAGCTCCTATGCAAGAGTGCAGGTAGTGTAGGTACTCCTGCCTGCAAACTGCAGAGCATCTGTGTGTTCTGCACGCTGCAGAGGCTGCAGCCGGGTTGCCCTTCCCTTTCTGCTGCTCCCTCGTCCTCCTGTCCCAGGGAAGCAGCCGAACCGATGTGCCTGCTCCTCTGCGCAGAGCAGCAACCATCCTGTTCTGAGCACAGGATAGTGAGCTGGGCCATGGCAGATGCTGCAGAGTTAGCAAGGCAAAAGAAACACAGTTTATGAAGGGCAGTGGAGGTTACCTGCCTACCCCAGCGAAGCGGAAACAACTGACAAGGTTAAGACCAAACAGTGGCATTTAATGCAAAAAGCGGCAAGTTAATTAGATCATGAATAAGTGACCCAGAGATGTGGTTAATCACTTTTTTCTATGTCCTCATTTCCATCTGCTTAGGAACATTAACTTTTTTTAAAAAAAAGTTACTGACACTCCCAATGCTGCTCTTTAGGGGAGCAATTCCTGCAGTTGTCATTGCAAGACACGGTTGAGAGTACAGAGGGATGTGTTTTTAAAGTATGATCTTAAGATTGCTTCACTTGAAGTTGAATTTAAAAGGAATACACAGATTAGAGTTTTCTTCTCCCCATAATTACTAGCTCATTAAAGATTAATTGGTTTTAAGTAAAAGAGTCAATTGTTCAGAACAATAATTAAAGATAGGAAAGCACTAGAACGGGTGGCTTGGGAAGGTCATTTAGAGTCTCTGTCAATGGAAGTTAAATATCTGCCAAGAATAACATAGATATTGCTGATGCTTCCTGAGGGCAGGAGAATAACTTAGCCCCATGAGGTCCCTTTCCATACTACTCTTCTGTAATTCAACTTATCCTCTTACATCTCCAGCTCAGTCTCAGGGTGACTTTCAGTGTATCTCTGGGTGATGAATTTACTGTCATTCTCAGATCATTTCCTTGTGAAATTTTGAGATATTCTATTCAATTTTTATACATACCAGAGACTTTCAGTGTTTCTCATTCTTTGTCACCTCTTTAACTACTGACTAAAAGAACCACAAGCTGTCATGCAAGAATTTTAGCAATAGAAAATGTGAAACATTTTTACTTTAAGCGGACCATTTTTTGCATTCTAGGAGTCCATCCTGTCATGGGTTTCCAAAGGAAAGTGTTTCAATACCATGCACAAGCTGCTTTATTTTGTGAGCACCATAAATACCCGGGATACTAGAATAAAGTGCCAGTCTCCAGGAGAATTCAAGAGTCCACCCCAAAAGGCTGGGTCATTGGGTCAAACAATGGGTAGTGGTAGAAATAAGGTGGGAAAGGAGAAACAAAGAGAAGAACAGCATCTTAAGAGAATAAATAAATGACATAATAGTAAAACTTCTCATAACAAGGCTTTCATGACTTGTCCATATGGATTTAATATCATAAGGTATATGCTTAACATTTTCTTGTATAAAAAAGAGAACTTCTGAACCCGATTTTTAAGATAACCCTGCTGGCTCCGTCCTAGCTAAAAGTCATACTCACTTCTTGGAACCATAAGCCTGAAAGGCGTAATGGCTCCCGAAATACAATTTAACACTGATGATGACTAAATGTTACATATTTACTTTTCTATCTAATAGCAAAGTAAGTATTTATTCTCTTACCTAACAAAACAGTTAATGTGTTTTACTCCATTATTTGACTGAAACTTGGGATTTGGCTTGTCTGTACTCCTGTTATACTTCATCATTCAGAAAATAATCAAGTAACATATTCAATTTGAAATGGTATAATGCTACTTGACTGAGAGCAGGGCTTTAGCTGTGTTTTTTTAACTTACATTTTAATTACTTCAAATTTTCAAATGAACTTTCACAACAATGTTGCTAGTTTAAGTTCATGAAAGTATCATGGTGATGCTTCAGTAAAAATTTAACTAGTTTTTATATGATGCCTTGTACAGATTCACACATTTTTGTGTTAAAAATAATTGATTATTGCTATAACACTAATGATCTTGAAAGCTAATTCCTCAGTTGAGGCAGAGGTTGTAGAGGATTACAGAATACCAGGCAAGAACAGCTAGTGAAATCTTAAATATCTATGCATGAAATCTGTCCTTCACCAGTGCTTAGTCATCTGTGAACATCACAAGTTGCTGGAAGGGGAATTCTGGCAGTCTCATTACACTCAGTTCTGTGCACAACTGATATACTCTCAGGGGACCATTGGCTACACATACAACGAAATAAAATCAAATGTTGAGAAAAAACAGGGAGCACTCCACCTGAGGTCAAATTGCAGCAATTTGCACAGCATATTTGATTCTTCAAATCTGAAAGTGCACACAGCAGGTATCAGGGGAGAGAATGGAAACAGATGGAGGGAGTGGTGGTTGATCCTGACAGAAACTTCACAACAAATGCTTTTAGCTTTTGCACTTTGATTTGAGCCCTGCAAAGCTCAGCGGACTGTTTCTGGGCACCAAATCCAAATACATGAGCTGAGAAAACAAAAACTTTGGCTAAGTTCAGAGAGGCAGAGAGAATGAAGGGGAGGAGAGCAGGATCCAGCCCACACACACCCCTCCCTGCCCCAGGTTGGGCATCAATACTGTAAGCCTGAGTAGAAGTCTAGGTAAGACAATTACTTGGTCAGTAAGCAGGAACACAGCCAGTTTACATTACAATTTCTTGTCCTATTTGCTTCTACACTCAAATAAACTATACTGTGCAAGTGGTGGGAGTCATCTCCTGTTCAGAGAGTCCCAAATACTAGCTAGTTGGACTGGTAGCAAGCTGGATATCTCATGGGACAGTGGAGTCATGGTCTCAGGATGGAGAAACTGGGACTCCAACTGAGGCAGCTCTATAGCATGGAGCCTCACACCAGCAGGAAGAAGAAAAGGGCTCTGAGACAAAAGAAAGAGTTGGCCTTTTAACTGTGATTGTATAACTGCAAGTTTATAGAACAATAGCTTCAAAATTAGAGCTGTGATACCACTGGAATTTTAAAAGCAAAAAAATATGCAGAGTTAAACTGTGAAAAATAAGTATATGGCTTGTGCTCCAGGTTGTTCTGCCAAGGCTTACCCAGGGGGGCAAACGCAGCCACTCGCACAGGGTGGTGAGGGGACACAGGAGAAGTTCATGGCAAGGTTCGCACAAGAGATCCCGCAATTCACACCCGCTGCTGGGAAGCCAGGCACAGGAGATCTGCAGTCATAGTAGATTTTTCCTTCAGGGCATATGTGAACTTCAAATGCAAAATGTAGGTTAAATGAGATCAACTGCTGTTTTACACTGAAGGTTTTCTGTTTGTTTTTGTTCACATTCTATTTATTTTAATGAACAGTTGGCCTACATTACAGTAAACATAAGAATACAATCTGAAAAAAAGTCTATAACTTCATTTGTATTACAGAAATATAAAATTAATAAATGTTTTAATGTAAAAAAAAAAAAAAAAAGACCAAACCTTCATATTAAGCATCTGGGTCTAGGCACCCTGGATGTCATACAGAGCCCATTCTTAAAGATGGAGTAATTATGCCTTAGGTAGGCAGAATCTTTAGAAGTGACATAATTTTCAGCGTAGTGAAAACCCTTCTAAATCCATTGGAAATTCATTTAAAATTTACCTTCTAGAAATCAAGATCTTAAGGCTTCCTAAACATGGATAGTCAGCCTAATTTTAAGTCTTCCCATAAGAACATATTGACGTACACCTCACATGTAATTATTTATTTTTTTTAATTTCTAGTGGTAGCACAATTTGTGCTACAGAAAAAGGAAAAAGAAAAAAACAAGACAACTTGTGCTCCTAACCTCCTATTTTAAATATGTCATGACATTAAGTATCTCATAATGAAAATACATGAGGAGAAAACTAAATGACTATTCAATGTCAAAAACTTTCTCTATGAACTGTAACATGAGACAAGACTGTAAATTACCTGTGTTTTCTGTAGTGGCTTCAATACATTTCACTGTTCCATTCAAACACTGACTGGAAAAGAAAAGCAAACCCATTTTTATTCAAAGAGAAAATGTTTTATGCCACCATGTTAAAAAATATAATACAACTGAACCCAATTCAAACAACAGAAATCAGGAGGAGCAGGATTAAAATCCAAATGCATGAGTCTAAACAACATTTTGCTGGTGTTTTCTAACCGACGGTCTATAATGAGGGCCCAGACTCACAAAGGTGTTTATGTACTCTTTAATTGCCTAACCTTCACTGAAATAGAAAAGAAGCTGGGTTTGTCAGCTTTGGTAGGAATGTATGGCCAGGTGATTCAGGATGCTGGCAGTGTAACACAAAATCTTATCCGCGTTGGTGAATATGGAAGGATACAGTATGCAGATTTCCTGTTGCACAGACATTAGGATACACAGCTTGATTCTTTCTATGATAAAATACAGAATTGTAGAAAAACAATTCAACAATAAACTTAGTCCTCATTTTTTCCTTTTGCTTAAAAAAAAAAAAACCACTGAAAAACCCAAAGCATTGCAGAGGACAGCAATGGTGGAAAAATGAAGCCCCTACTCTCACCTCTTGAACTACATGATTACCAAGCTTCATTTATAACAACTATAATATATAAGACCTCAGTAAGAATCAACCTTGACACAAAGTCTCACAAATTATTTTAAATCAGCAGGTTGAGAGCATTTCTTGTAAAACGAACAAGTTTGAACAGGAAACCTGGGAAGTTTCCCCACTTGTTTCAGTGAGGTCAGGATTCCATCATGAATTAATAATACAAAATGACACAAATATAGCTTATATAGCTCCCTTCAAGCCTTTGTTTGAAAGACTTTCCAAAATAGAATCACATTGTTTATTCTTCCGAAAGGGGCCTCATATTGTTATCAGAATGCCCCCAGGTCTAAGAATAGGACTGCAACTTCTATGTCTGCATTTTGAGGTACTCTTTAGTCCATGGCTTACAGAATTTTCCAGGTATCCTGTTGTTCAAATAAGCAGGTACGTAATCCAATTTATAGTAGGCTCCCTTTTACTAAGTGTGTAACAAAACTAAAATCTTGATACAATAGACCTTTATTCTATGTGAAAAAATTCTCAAGGCTTTTGAGTGGCATCCAAACTGTGATACATGAAAGAGAAAAGTCTTGGTGCTCAAACCTACCAGGAGCCTGTTGGCGTAGGGAGGATTTCTCCAGGCTGGAGGGCTTTGCCCTTGTAATGACAATGACAGGCAGATCTGTTAAAAGAATATTTATGCATGTAAATACAAAAGTAAGATGAAATGGAATTTAATGGCAAACCATTTATCAAGCTATTATGATAAGCAGGCCTTATAATTCATTATTTCAATCTTTATATTTACAATATACTTCTAAAAGCAAAACCTAAAGAATGACACTCTGACTGTATTGAAGTCAGTGGCAAAACTCCTACCACCTTCAACAAAGCCAGGATTTTCCTCAATCTCCGTACTATTTATTTGCTGTTTCCTTGCGTTAGTCTTATAGAAAGGAGCTTTTCTTTCCAGTTATGGGAGTAATATGGCAACATGTAGTTCCCATTCAAAGTACTGTCAAAATCATGGGACAGAGGAATTATCATAGCAAAATCTATTAACTCTGTCTATGGTAAGTGCTAGATGGTATAAGAAGTAGCAACAGAATTCCCTAGAAAACATGCAAAAATATGGAAATACCAAGTTACCTCACTCTCTTTAATAGTTTGAAACAGTCTTCCCTACAGTATGAACTTTACTGATCTTTCCAAAATACATGTCACAATGAACAGCAATAACTCTATAATCTTGACGTTTATATAAATATTCATTCCAGTTTTTAATTCAGTACCTGAACTTAGTAACTCCCCATGGTGGTAAGCTGTAAAATTTTGGCACACAATGTACAAAAACTATTTCGTTTCATTGACCATTTCCTTCTGTTTGACTGAAGGGGGTTGCATTGTGAGACAGAAGACAGTTCTAGCCATACTCCATACTATCCTTGACTCTATGGATTGCTACTATGTAGATTCCTTCTCATTTTTTCTTAAGCATTAAAAACAAGGTTTTCAAGTGGAAATGCTTTCCCATGAATTAAAAAAGTTTCATCATGCTTCTCTAAAGCAGTGTGACATGTCTTCTGTGAAGTGCAGTAGACGGCTGTACACACAGCAGCAGATGAGGCCCCACTATCGATCAGTAGAAGAGAATATGAAATCTTCATACACTGCTTGCAATCCTGTTTAGGTGGCCTACATCTTAAGTGAAACAGCAGAAAAACTACTTTAAATCTTGCTGGAAAGAGGAAAATGTGCCTATGCATATGATCTGTTTTCTTATGACTTACATTGATACACAAAAGTTGACCGACTCTTCAAAATATTTCCCATCAGGACAATTACATCCTTCTGCACAGTCATCACCACAGATATTTGCCATAGAAAGTGAAGCACAGGAATGTTTACAAAAAGAAGAGCACTGATGATAAAGCATACCACTGTGACACATCACAGCTGGAGGAGAGAGAAGGAGAGAGAAGGGAGAACAGCATACTCATAAAATGTGAAAAATAGGAAACAAAGCAATATGTCATGGCAGTGCAAAACAGCAAAGCAAAATGGTCTCTTTCTGCACTGCAGTGAGTTAAAATGCACAAGAAAAATATGCTATTTTATTGATTTCTTAAATTAGAAATGTTTAGATTCAGGTGAGTTTACATTAGACAATTCCTTGGCTGGAATTGTCTATTTTGTCAGCAGTAGGTGTCTACTCTTTATATACGTTAAGTGTGTATGTGTGTGATCTAGTAACTCAGGCTTCCAAGAAAGGAAGAATGGTCCAGCTAAGGTTGAGGCATTGCTCTGTGGTTTAGAAATGCCTTGTTTTAAATCATTGCTATATTCTACTCGGCAAATCACTGCCCAGCCTGCCCTGTCCACCCCGGGGAGCCCCTACCACCCCAGCTTGCTTTCCCTTAGGGAACAGTCCTGCTCCTGCCACTCTCTGACTACTTTAGCTTAATAGGGGCTTCCATATGACTTAGGGATTCAAATTCAGAAATTAAAATTCTCTCTGTAGCCAATGGAAAGGGACAGGCACCCCCTGTGAGGGAGCTCAGGGTCCCCAACTCAGATGCCTAACATGAAGGCTATTAGCGTTCTCACCTGAGTATGTTATTATCCCATGGCACAAATCTACTTTCCAGCAAAAAATATCAATCTCTGTATTGTGTGGAGCAAATGATATTCGTAGAATCTTACAAATATCTAAAAGATATTCCATTCTCCAAACATTACTCACCACAGTAAGAAATATGAGATCTGAAGTCAACGACGACCCCATGCTTGCCACAGACGTAAGCATAGTGTGCCAAAGCATTACACAAACAGCTGCTTCCACATTTGCATGCATCGAAGCGGCATAGCTGGTAGTATAATCCTGGACTGATGTAGGCATGGCAGGGAGCAAAAACTTCTTGATTGATGATATCACAGTGAGATGCATACCCAGCTAAGAGAAGGTGACATTGGTTTAGCAGATCCATTTTAATATAAGTTAGTCCAATGAATATCACAGAATATTAAAACCAAGCATAGCCAGTTGTGCAACAAAAACTTCTGTACAATATCTTTCTGCAAAGTTCTATAGTTTAAAACTGATATTGTAAGCAACTACCTCAACAATAAACTCCACTTAAGATAAAAATAACTATATAAAAACAGTTATGCCTTCCTCTAGTAATGCAGGAAACTTAAATGGCAAAATAATAAATTTCAAAAGAGTTAGTTAGAAGAGTCCTCCAAAGCTTGGAATATGTCTTTTGCTACTTCATGTTTCATTTAGCTTTGAAATCAGCAATGGCCATATATTTCTTGGCATGTAGACTCAGGAAGCATTACAAACTGGAGCTCAAGTGCATGCAAGTCCCAAGCTGGCTATATACCTTCTACTGCCAACAGACCTGCCTCCTACCACTGAAGTGTACTACCACCACAAGTGGTGGAGTATCTCAGGAACACCATAGTATGGATCATATTTAAGCCAATGTCGCTGCTAAAAGACTGTTCCTACCCTTCATCTTCCCTGTTTATTTCCACATACACACACTGACACAAGAATTTCTGGAGTCTCTCATTAAACTAGATGCAAGGGGGGAACTTGACTTGCTGGAAAAGTAACCTGACAAAATAAGTAAACAAACAAACATTCATTTCTTTTTCAGTTTCATAAGATTAAGAAAAGACCTGGAAAAACACTTGTGCTGGCTGAGCACAGGTGGTAGCATGGGGCAGGACCACTTACTCAGGGACTGCTTTTTCCAGTGATGATTATAGGATCACAGGGAAATTCAGGCTGGAAGGGACCTCAGAAGGTCATGTAGTCCACTCTCCTGCTCTAGCAGCTTACATTTATGTCAAACTCCACCTTCACCAAGGAAGCACAGAACTGAAGGTGAGGCATGAAGTATCTTGGAGAGAGCTAGCTTGGCTGAGATGTACTGTTTTAGAAGACAGCAAACACTGAAGGCACAAAAAGTCTTAGAATGCCCCAGATTCTTAGAGGTTTATGGTTATTCTAGGATTGCTCCCACAGGCTCTAAATATGGCCAAATCCCACATCTTTAGTGAGGCCTTATGTCTGAAACGTTAAAAACATTAGACTAAATTCTGTTAGAACTGGCAACTACTGTCTGCCCATTGTCTTCATTAATTGAAAAGAACAGCAACATGGAAAGGAGGAGACAGTGAAAGTTCAGTGCAAAACATAGGCACATCAACCAGCCAAAACTAAATCTTTACTCAGGAATTTGAACAAATCCACAGATCTCAGATTGTTTGCATCAGTTTGTGTCAGAGAGCATAGATGGAGGATATGAAAACTTTTAATGCAACAAGCATGAAGAAGCCAGAGATAGGACTTCTGATCTGAACACTATCTTGGCAAGACACTGTCTCCTGTACTTTGTCAATCTACAAATGTGCACCATTCCGTTTGACTAGCATAACTTACAGGACTACAGACGGTGTACTGCCTAGTACTCTGCATGTATATTAGACAGCAGAATTTAGGATTCATGGCCAGTACACCCAGCATTAAATGATCAACTAGCCTGTATTTATGAAGGACTTACTTCATTTTACATGCTAAATGTATGGAAAGAATGGTCTTGGTTAAAAAATAAAAAGGAAAGAAAGAGTGCACATCTAAAACTGAAGTTGAAATACATGTATGTGCAACTCATTCAGAGAAAACAAAAAATGTCCCATAATAATAAGATACAGCTAATTCCAGGCTTCCATGCGAAAACATACCATTTTGCTGATTAACGTTGCAGGGATCAACCACAGGAATATTGATAGGCACTGAACAAGCTGAGGAAACCTTCCATGCATTGGCATGAAGTTGTGGGGTCCCTTCTATCATCCCTGCTGGAGAACTGAAAAGGAAAAAATCAACACTGCAAGCATCCTGCTGACCTGATGGACTACATGGGTGAGAACACAAGTTCATCAAAAAACCTTAGATGTATAGTTACATTGAACATTCAATGTGCCAAAAGAATTTCCATCTGTGAGGCATAAAAGAAGAGAGGGCATGTGAAGCTTTTTCCTCAATATTTTACTCATGCAAAAATATTCTTACACTCAAAGTCTGCCCTCACTTACACTTAATTCAAGTACTCTGAAATCAGTTGGAGGAGGCATAAATGAGAGGAGAATTTGGCCTTTATTCGAGTACATACATTCAGTGAAATGTCCAAAATTTGACCTGTTAGCTAATTTCAGTGTTCTAGAGGGTGGCTGTTTGCATTTTGATGCTGTTTTTCACCAAGTGTTTCAAAAGCATTTATTATTGCTGGAAAAGCTTTGTGATACTATAGCTTGAGGAACTTCACATGAAATGAAGTAAAAGAATATGGAAAGTGTGCCCTTCTAATTAAACTATTCATGTGGTTCAGGATTACATTTTTTTTCCATTAAAACTTGTGGGAAAAAAACTCCAAGCACTAGTAAGTGTTAATCAGGTGAGGATGATACTAGTATTATCATCCACTCTGTTTTTTTAGTGTTCCTGTATTTGCTCTGATGATAAGGGAGCAGCAGGGAGGAAAAAAAGTGCATTCAAGCAATGCCATCATCCAATAACTTCTATAAATAATGTGGTAGTTTTCTAGAATTACTTAGCTAAACATCTTAGCATGACTTAGCTAAATTTATGCGTTTCATATTTTAAAAACTGACTGACATTGTAATTAACAGATTTTATATTGGTTAGTTTAATAAAGTATGAGCATGTTAACGAAATGAAATAATCAGATTATTACATTCAACAAAGCTTTCCACTTGTTATTAAACACAAGCTAAATGCACAATATGCAACTTACAGAAAATCATCTCTTAAATTCCCATTGTACGTTCCACATAGTCCTAATGTTCTTCTCTTCCAGCTGACATCAACTTGAACATAGATCCTCTCTCCATCTTTAGCAAACAGTATCTTCAAACCAAAACTAGTCTTCAGTTGAACAAAGAAAGAAGATATATTCTGAATTTCAATAGCCCCTGCACATAGCAAAAGAAAAAGAAAAACAAAGTCACTGAAATCCAACTTCCAGGTTGTATTGGTTTACCCCTTAAACAAAATAGATTTTGAAAACTCAGAAATAAAATGAGAAACTATGCATGACCTCACCTGCAGCCAAATAACCTTACCCATTCTCCATCTGAACTTATGAGACTACTTATCTTTTTCATTAGTGACACAAATCAGGAATTGCAACTACTATTGACAGTAAAAGAATCTCTCACCTTTCTGTACCTGTGAGTTATCCAGAAACCACTCTCGCATTTCTTTTTTTTTTTTAGAAGAAAGCAATGCAACAGCATGCCTCTGGCAATGAGAAGATAAGACAAGAAACCACTTGTTTCTTAGTCTCCAGGGATGTTATAAGATTAATTAACAGATGTCTGTAAAGTGTATTGCAAACTTTAGATAGAAGGTTCTCTCTCACTACTATTGGTATGACATCAGTATAGCTCCTTCCTTAGACTGTATGTGAACTAAGGCCCTATCAAATTCCCAGCTTTCCTTCCCAGCAAATCCATTATGTGAGGAAATGGAAATTTCACAGTCACAGCATTCATTTGGTAGACATTGTTGGGCTACTTGCAGCTGCAGGCTTAAAGCAGATCTACCTTCACAAGCAGCCTCTACACATGCACACATGCACACTTAGGTGCATAAACTGAGAAAAGGCAGATAAAATGCTTATGTGAGCTTAAAGATGTTCTTAGCTGATAAGACTTACTAGACACACCCAATTATCAAGAATGTGACATCAAAATACTTGTCATAGATTATATTTGTCGCAGACTATGTAAAGAGACAAGAAAGTGAACAGGGACTGATTCAAGAGACATACAATGAAATTATCAATTAAATTATGAAGCAGAACTGTCAGGATAACTGGAAGTTTAACTGAGCTATGAAACTCATTGCCATAGGAAGCTGTGAATGCCAAAAGCAGAACTGTGGCTGGACAAATTCAATGAAGAATTTGACATAGCTGCAATCACCAGCACAGAACTCCCTAAACTCTGTTTTGCTGGAGGCTGGGAAAGGAAAGAGGAACTCCCACTTTAGTCTTTCAGAAAAAGACTAAAAAGCCAGTAAGAATTTGCTGCTGATCACTGTAAAATACAAAATTTAGCAATATCGTTTCCATGTTCAGTGCTTAATTTTGTAACAACCTTTTAAGGCTGATTTATTTTACTATCCTTTCCAAAAAAGGTGAAGTAACCTGCCTGAAATCACAACATAAGTCAGCACTGAAAGCAACAGAGATCCCATAGAGCACATGGATTCTATTCCATGGCATTTATTCAAAAAAACTTTAGTCAAGCTAGACCTTAACATCAGCATCAAGGTAATTTCCAACCTCTCTTCACTTCCCTTCTTTTTCTTACCTCCTTGCCCCCTAAACACATACCAAATGAGTGGTATTTCTAGGTACTCTGCAAGATAAGAAATGCAAAGAAATGAGGGCATAATGAAGGACTCTATTTCGCAGGCTGAAAAAGTACATCTCTAGAACCATTACTAAGGTTATAAGAAGTAAGTAATTGTACATTTCATAAGTTATGTTTGAAGAAATTCCTTTTTCATGGACAGACATTACTAAAAAGCTTCTGAGTATATAAAAGAAAGAATGTGAACCGTGGTAAAATTATACTTGATGCACTTCTTACCATTAAGGTTAAAAACTTGGTTAAGGCCAGTTTGGATTTGACCAAATCTCGTGAGAGTTACTTGTTTGTTCACATCATCTTCAAGAACTAGTGTTATAGACTCAATGCAGGCGTGGTCAAAGTTCTAAGTAGAAACAAGTTTCACCATCAGAAAAAGGCAAAGACATTAATATTACCACAGAAAGCAAAAACAAACAAACAGGAAAAAACAGTTGTTTAGAAAGGAAATACCAGAACTGTCATCAGGTAAATCGGTTGCAAACTATCACTCAAAGCATTAAACAGAGCACCCAAGAAATATGTAGAACATAATAAAACATTGCATATGCAGATAAGAGCAAGGAGAATGCATTTTAGCTATTATGGCAGTCTAGTAGTAAGTGGACAGAAGTCCCCAAGTACTGATACTGAGTTCAAAAGGCCGTGCTTGCATGGCCACTCTGGCTACTCCTCATTGCTGGCTTAACCAGTGTTTAAGCAAGAGTCTGACCCCATCTATTATCAAGATGGTGCAACCAGAGCCCAGATGCAGCAATGCAGGAGGAAGAAACTATTGCACACATGAAGATGCTTCTTGCCTTGAAACATAGTCACGATCTCTGACTGGAGACCAAAAGGATATAATTTCTCCAGAATTACACTACAATAATTTATAAATGTCTGACTATCATAAAATGGTGACTTATAAACTAACTTACACTCATCATTTTAGAGTGCTATCCAGGCAGAATTTATGAACCTAAGTACAAGACAATAGGTGACATATAACCAGCTTAAACCAAGCATCTTATGCTCCCTGTGCCCCTATGTTTTCACCCAGAAACTTTCCAAGGTGCCTAGAGTTGTGCTAAGGGTCATCTCCAATAGCATCCTTGTCTCTCAGTGGCTACCTAACCAACCATTTCATGCTTGAGGCCACCTGAAATGCAGAAAGCGGAGTCCCAACACCTATGCAGGAGAAGGAGGTGATTACAAAACAAGCAGAGGCACCAGCTCATAGCCTAGCTTTTGAAGGGACATGACAGACAGTCCCATAGTAGGGCAGCTTCAGTGCATCACTCCCTGATGATGTGTTCAGGCATCCCAGCCCTCAGCAGATGGGCAGCTGTGAGTCACAGTCTCAAAGCCCCTTCTCCTGAGAGCCTAGGTGACGAACAACATCACTAAATCCAGTCTCACAGGTAAGTACTTTCTATAAGCATCTCTCTTCGTAAAGCCTGTTGTTGCATATCTGCCAAAATACTTCCAAATACGTGTGGTGGCTAGTCTCTTTAATAGCTTTCTGAAAGGCATTATTCCAACAAATTAAATATGCTATAACATATCAAATACAAATCTAAAGCTACCAAAAGAAAAAAATCTCTTGCCTAACTAGCAGTGTATGAAACCTGTTCAGTGCTGCTAGCAAGAGCTTTTCTAAAGCCTAAGACATCTGTTTGTACCATAACCAAAGATGTATATACTTGTTTAATGTGCATAAGTGAATAACTCTTTAGACTTCATCCCTCTAAAGATGTAATTGATTTTATAAAGGGCAATACAATATGTGGTAATACAACCACTTACAAAAAAGCTGTGGAATGGTTTCAGTTTGTATTTTCTGTTAAACATGACTGGGTAGTTTACAGCAGAACCTATACAAGATTGCCTGAAATATGGATGGGCATGTTTGTTGTGAATGTTCAACAAAAACGTGACTTACCTGTCCACAAGGTGCTTTCTGTAAAGTGATTGCGAATTTGTTTTTCCCAGTGCCTTTTACCAAAATGTACTGGCAAATCCCAAGAAAGGTAAAATGACGTCCATCAAATGTTGTGAAATGAGAGCTGCCTGTGATGGAGCACTCAGCTTGAGAGAATAAGGATAAACAAGAATGTTCACTTGCATAAGAATGTATCGTTATTCTGTAAATTATGTAAGAGAGATAAATAAGAAACTTTCTTCTTATTTCTAAGCACATAATCCAGGCTAACTTTAATCTATCTAGCTATTACAGCATTTGGAAATCAAATATGTTATATACACCTATTTCCATACTGCACGCACTGATGTGCAGCATCTTCTGGTTCTAACTAGATGAGATGCCTTTGAGTCATGCGTTCTCTAAAATACAAAAGGGTTTTCTCTTTATTACAACTTTGAAGTTTCCTAGAATCTTCTTCCTCATCATCTTTCGACATGACTGAGTGTGAAAGAGGATAAGCTTCTTTCTCCTTCCTTTTAGGTACTATGGCTCTGCAGATATGAAGAGGCTGCAGGTGTCTGTCCTCAGGGCACATCTATATTCGGTTTTTAGTTCAGACTAGAGGTGCACTGTTGAAGCAAGTCTCCAGCGCATCCCTACTTACTGCACTTTCATTCACACCATGAGGCAGTGTCAGAGCACATGAACTAGATTCATTTGGGCTGCAACAAGTGCAAGAGGTGCTCTGTGGGAGCACATCTAACCCGCTCCCACTACTAACAGGCATTCAGACCCTAGGACCAGACTAGAGTAGTCATAATTAAGCCCCCACATGCACACACAACACACACAAGACATATGGAGAGGTTCTCGGTGTCAACTGTTTTACACTACAGATCCACCCTGTCAAGCCTTGCCTAGTAACTGTTAAACTTTGTTTATTACCTCATCCAGAGGAGGCTCCTTAATTTGTAAAAAATTTCCTCTTTTACAAGTTTCACAGTATAAGCTTGTCTAAGATACAGAACTGTCAAGGGAGTTTCACCACCTGACTACTGCATGTTCCTCTGAGTAACTCATTAGAGAGACGTGTAATCTTTAAAGATAAGGATCATTATCCAAACATGAACTGCTGTTATAAGGGAGAAAATGCAGCACTGAGCATCAGAACGATGTTTTTCTTATTATTTGCATTACAATTGCACCTAGAAGTGAGGAGATCCTTATACCTGGCCTAGGTACTGCACAAGCAGTAGAAACAAGGCGCCTGCCCCAAAGAACATAGATCATGAACAGGAGATAGAAAACGAGAGGTGGATGTAACACACTGGGTTAGGGAAGCAAATGGGAAAAGGTAAGATGAGTATGGTCAGGCAGTTAAAAGCTTCACCTCGGCTGGCCCACTGCTACTCTCACCATCCATCTGCTTAATCTTTTTTTTTTTAAATTAGCATCCCAAGCCCTTGCATCATATTTGGTTCTGTTATCTTCTGAAAAGTTTATCCCATATGTTCACCGAGGAGAGAAAAGAATAATGAAATACAGATACCTGGGCAATCATGATCAGTGCAGTTCCAAATGCCACCAATACAAATACTAAAAAGAAAAATGACAAAACACAGAAATTTAGTGTTCTGAGCTTTAGCAAAAAGAACAGCTTTGAGCTAATTAATATGTCTTGAATTCACCCTTTCCACTGAATATCCTGTATATTTTAGTGATGCACAGGGCCCAGACTGTAAACCATAGGCACTAACTATTCTTTAAAATGTAAGTGTGACTGTGATGTTAAACTAACTATGGGCAGCAGTCACAGTGAGAGGAAACACGCATATGAGGCTTTCACATACCAGTTGCTACATTCTTGTTCAATTTTTGAGCCTACTGGGAAGGCAGTTCCATGGTAAATACAAGGACAACTCGACACAGAGATACAAGTTCCATTTTCCATAATGAGACCTATTGGGAGGGAAGTTAATAAATGACATATAAAAAACAAATTAATGAACTCTGGATCGTTGCTCTTCTCCCATCTGACTCAAACATTCAAATTTGCCAGAAGGTGATCTTGCCAGTCTCAACTGGGGACCTGCAAGAAGAGTCACCCAGTGAGTGCAGAGGGCTCAGAGCGATCAACCGTGAAGCTCTCCCAAAACAGTTGTCATTCTGAATTATGAAAAATGTCTGACTTAAGCATGTAAAACTGTACAGACTCAAAAATGAAAAGATTCTGAGATCACGTAATGTTTAGTCCTTATTGAACAGGACTGTTCATAGCCCAATCTCTAATTTTTGTTGAGTACAAGTCTCAAGAAGTTTGGTTTCTTGTACAAAGTATAACACACCTTCTGTTTAAATAAAACCTCAATAGATTTTGCAATGATTCAAATGAAGTGGATCTGAAAAATAAAGTGGATACAGTCACAGCGTATAAAGCTGTCTTTACACTTCTCAGCTAGAAAAAAATCTACGCAGTATCTTATTGTAGCAAGCACTAGTGATGGCTCCAGATTTTAACTGATATTTCATTCTGAGCCACCTTTGTATTCTAGAGAAATGTTTAGAACACATAAAAGGAAGAATCACAGTGAGAGTAACAACAGCTAGAGCAGAATTTACAATATCCATATTTTCAGGCTTTAACTTTAAGCACTATTTAGTCTATTTAGACAACTTTATTATGATGTTAGATATTAGCTTTACACATATTTTTTTTTCACATAAAATTGGCAGTACTTACCATCTGGACAGTAACAGCCATCTAAGCAGTGTAGGTTGCTGCCAAGACAGTCTTTTTCAAACGTGCATGTTGGTGGACAACAACTGATACAGTCACGGTGTACAAAGCTGTCTTCACACTTCTCAGCTAGAAAAAATACATGGTACATTGAACATTAGTGCAATTTCTCTTTCCATACTGGAGAACCCCTCAAATAAACAGTTGTGCAGTGCTTCTGATATAGGTAATTATTCAGGTCAGGTACAATGGATTGTTTGGAGAGGTTTTAACTGATGAACTGTGATGAATCTTTCATCAATATTTAAGACTTTCTTTACCAAATTCTTACATCACCCCTCCAAAAGAAGTTATAGTTTCTGCGACAGGGGAACATGTGTTCATATCTCAGCTAGTTCAAAGTCTTGTGCATGAGATTGAACTGCAATTGATGGGTAGTGGTGATAACTAGAAGGAGCTGGATTAACTGTATTAATTCTGTTATAGGACTAGGAGAAGCTGAAAGGTCATCTGGAGAGAGGGTCAATATCAGATCTCCACAGATGTTTGTTCTTTGCCTTAGAATATGATCAGCACACACAATGTTTCAAGCAATCTGTGGAAACATTAATTTTGTATGGCTCTAGATCAGATCACAATGGCATTAAAATATTCCTCTAGCAAGTCATTGACTTCATTGTTCACCAGCAATAGTGAAGCTGGCTGATCTACTTCAGTATCAGGTTTGAGTCCTATAGTGACAAATGTTGTCAAGCTAGAATTATCTGAAATGGATACATGGGGTATCTCAAAGGTCACATAGTATGCGCTATTAAAGAGTCTTACTACAGGCAGGAAAGTCATCCCTCCAGTCCCGCACCGGGGACCCTGCATGAGAGCATGCTCTAGCGTACTCTGTCACCGCCCTGCAGTATGTTTCATCATCGTCCGCTCTGAAATGTTAAAACAAGAGAGTAATCAAGGAACTCAAATCCCATCTACAAATCTCTGACACAGGACACTGCACAGAATACCTCAGACATAGCTGACACCACTCAGTCATAACAGCACAGGTGAAAATACTATGAAAAGGAACGAGCTATACTGAATACAGTGTTGTGTTTTTATCACCTGATCTCACAAAGAGTTATTTCATTTTAATATTACCACAATGAACAAACACACTAATTTATTACAAAAAACATAAATGTTGCTTATGGTGAAAGAGAAACATGGCCTTGTCTTGAAGACAATGGACAACTCAACAGTCTCAAGATCCACAGCTCAGGCCCTCTCCCTCCTGCATGACGTGGAAACTCTGACCTAGACTGATAAAAGACATTCTGGTCCAAGTAACAAGTTCAAGTTTCCAATTGCCTGTCAGTCCTTGAACTTAGGCGAGAAGAACCCTGTTGGTGGACTCTTGACCTTCTGCTGAAGTGCTCAGTGCCAGAAGCATTACCCACTGAATATTGTAGCCAGGCTCAGAGATTTACAGCGCAACCTTGGGCAAAGACTTTATCTCTGCTTTAGTCTATACAGAAGAAGCTGTACAGTGACCTTTTGCCAGGATCAAGTAAAGAGAGATTCATCAGTGTTCAGGTAAGCTCAAATATTATTCAGATATAAGTCACATAAGGTGAGACACCACCAACCTTTTGTTACTGTGAAAGTCCAACAACGCCCATCACTCACTGTGGAGGACTTGGTGCCAAAATGGACTAGTCATAACATGACATTTCTGTTATAAGCATGACTGTGATAGATCAGCTGAGTTTGTCTTTCAGCACAGAAGATCATGTTTCCAAAATTAATGGTCTTAAGAATATATTATACTGTGTTTGTATTCTGTTTTCAACACATCTGTTATCAAATCAAACACCACTACACTCTTTGTTACAGTGATCAGAGTCTCTCCAGCTCTCCTTATCTAATCCAATTAAATGGGTCTTAATAGAAAGAATACTTGGCATATCCTATGACCCCACAAAAAGCTTCATAAACTGACACTAAGCCACAAGAAGAGAGGTCTCTTTTATAAACAAAATAAGCCTAAATTAATGAGGTTCTGAGGCACAGAAACTTCCTTCAAGGTTTTTAACATTCACACAATTCACATCCACACACATATGCGTGTTGAGAAAAATCAAATCTGCCTTAACACCATGACATTGATTTAATATTACATTTGAAAATTTACTTTTCGTTATTCTTCTTTTGCCAAGAAAAAGTCACAATAAACTCCTGAGTTACAAAGAGACCATACAGAGGCAAGTCATCCCTTCTCTGAGTGAAATCAATGTACAGATCATAAACCTCAGGAAGCACACTTTGGAGATTTTCCTGCAAACAGAAATTCTTCCATCTTGACTTTATGATAAAGCAGAAAACTCAAAATTCATCAAAAATGAACAAGTTGTAATGGATTATACTGAGTGATTCTCACTTTCAGTCTTGTGATCCTTTCTGTATGTTTTTGATCAAATTGATGATACTCTGAGAAGGCCATAATAATATCTGGTAAAAATCCTGCTATTTATGACAACTACTTCTTAATTTTAAAGCCCTACTAAAAAGAAAGTGGTATACTGCTCAGTCATCTATTCAATTACACTCTGGAGCAACAGTTTAACTTGAACTAAAAAGGAGTCTGGAGAGCTAAGGGGAAAATACCAGGTTGCATACAAAGCCAGCAGCTGAGGGGGTGTAATTCCCACCAAAGCTAATGAGAGTTGAATTTCTTTTGACAACTCTGAATTTACCTAAATAAAAAAATTTTGAAAAATTCTACTAATTTGAACCATAGTGGTTGCTTATACAAACAGCCCAGCTGTGTCAGACAAATGGTCCAGCTCCTCCAGTATCATTGATATTTCCCCCTATATCATCTCCATGTATTTTTGATTCAGGACCTCCAGATACAGGTTTCAGGGGTTTCGTGATTAGCAGCTGCTCTTTTGTTGTTAGTGATTCTCCATGGATTTGTCTTCCATGAATTTGTCTAGCATTTCCTTGAATCCATGTAAACCTTTAGCAATCAAAATATCCCTTGGCAGGCTGGTTCTGTGCCCTTTGTTTCCACACTAAATCACCCACTGAGAAATCCCGTCTCTCTCACTTTGAACTTGGTTCCTCCTAACTTCCCTCAATGCTGCTCAGTTCTGGTCTCAAACGAAAGAGTGAGCATTCATTTCATGTGTCAAAAATAAATACATAAGAACTCCAGTCTTACCTGCAGAGATCATTCATACAGCTAGAAATGTAAGAATACGGATCTATGCTTTCATGACAGCTGAGAAAAGGAAACTGCAGGAATATTTGGCACTTGAAGAATATGTCCTGCACATTAGGGAGAATCAGTAAACGACAGTTAGCAGATACTTTCTGAACAAGTATAATTATTTTTAGCTTTGTTTCCCTAATTTAGGGTCCTTTATATCCCCGTTAAAACTTGAGAACATCACAGTCTCAATTTATTATTATATCTCCTTTACTATTCTTCCTAAAATTTGTCCTCTCTGCCTAGGCTGGCTTGATTGCATGCTGCTCCTAAATCCGCTGGGATGAAAGAGTGTGAAATGACAAAAAAAGCATTTCGTGTCAATGCAGGAGCTAGGCATGTTACTTCTGCAGTATTTCACAATTTCTAAAATAATGAAGTGTAAGATGCCAGGACTGGAAACAACCCAAGTGTAATGCAGCAATGAAGAGCTCTGCCAGCAGACCTGTGCCACTTGGCACATCCTATCTGAGGCTTTGTACTTTTAAGCTAAGCATCTGAAGATCTTCAGACATTCCCTAGCAACAGTCCTGATCTGAATCTTCCCTTTCTCAAAGCCTCAATGTATTTAAGGCTTTTTACAACATGGTGTATGTTGCTAGATTCTTGTACCATCACTAGGCAGTGAAGATGAAGAATATACATATATACATATCCATATAAATATATAAATAAAACATTATTAATTTACCTCAGTGGATTCTGCATCAGCTGAGCAAGGACTGGAAAAATCTGAGGCAGTAGGTACACAAGCTACATCATCTGAGGTTTGCACAGCCCAGCTATTTGCAAATTCAGCAATGTCTTCTGTATATTCACCTACTGCATGAAAACATTGGAAGAGCATCCAGGCAAAAAAAAAATAAAATTGTAAACACAACACAAAAGACAGCTTGGAAATTTCTGGTAGTTTTTCAATGTGTTTGTTACTTCAGTTACAGGTATGTTCAGAGTACGGGTGGTGCAGAAAAACATTATTTTTCTTTTTTAATTTCAGGTAGTATTTCATACTACGTTTAAATGAAAGGATTAAAAAATATATCACAAGGTATTGGGTGGGGGTTTTTTTAAGTGCAATCACTGACAATTTTATAACAAATATACAAATAAGGACAAGCGTAATACATTGAATACAGAAAAAATACATTTCTTTAAAACAATGCAAGGTTTTTATCATGTTTCATAAAGGTCAGTTAGCGCTATTATCTCCGTCCTTTTCCCTTGCTGCAGAAAAGCCCTACAACAAACATACAACTACATGCCCAGCTCTCCTCACAGCATGAGCATGGGAGAATTAATGAGTGAGATGCATGACTGGAAGTCATGGCAACAGGCTGAAGAAGATACAGGAGCATACGAGAAGGTTGGCAGAAAAGAAACAGACTCAAAATTTCCATATTTTTGCAGCAAGAACTAGTTATTGCATTTTCTTTATGTTCTTAATTATGTTAAAAAGGGTATATTGCCTCCACCTTGAAGAACCTGACAGTAATTGGCATCTCTGCTATGGTTATCTATATCCAGGCACGGTTAGGAGACAGCTAAATCTGCCACAGGTTTTTTTCCCAGAGCTGTACTATCCACAACTTAATGTAACTTCTTCTAGCACAAGATGTACAGTTTGACACTCTGCAATGTGGAAAGCCCCAAAGCACACTAATCAGATATTTGTACTTGGATCTCCACAAATAAACAAGAGATAAGATCCTAACCACCAGTCTATTTTACTTAAGAGCTAGGGAGACTTGAAACGTTTAACCCTCTCTGACAGAATAGTTCTTTACGTGGAAAACCCTTCCCAAACATAAAAAGCTGGGTTTTGATCTAGACGTAAACCTGTTGATGTAACTTTGCTTCTGCGAAAACACTAAAAATATTATATTTACTTTTCAACATGGCTTGAAAAAAATTTCTAAGTCAATCTGCAAAAAATGCCACAAAATAAAATCACTGTCCTTGAAACAGTTCTATACACAGATACAGCCTTGTATATTAAAGCAATACAAAGATCCATTAAAGATGGAAAGGAAACAGAAAAGGAGTTTGTTTTTAAACTGTGCTTTGAAATGGAGTATTACATGCCTCTCAGCAACTTATTTATTTGGGGCGTTGCAAATAGAGAGCATTCAGACTCTAGAAGACTCAGGATAGATGTAAGAGCTTCCCTAGCACTACTAGGGGAAGTAGTTTAGTTGGCGGAGATAAATCATCATCCCAAATGATTTATAAGATTTGGAAACACTTAGAAAAATGTTGTGGCTTAGAAGTAATTTGAATTAGCAGTCTATTCTTGTGAAGATATCAGAGCTTCGTCCTTTGTATTTGCACAGAGTCAAGGTACCATGTTATATAACTGGTTCAAGGTTAAAATGATTCAAAGCGCTCTTGATTGTACACTACAATAATACTATCATTTCTGATAAAGAAAAATGCTAGAAGAAATTATGATGGTGAAGAAATGTAGCTCTGAAAATGAAGAAAGCTAAGAGCTGGAAGTCTTTTGTAACAGTTAATATATTTAAAGATACTGAAATTACTGTTTTTTAGAGATCGTGTGAATTCATTATCTTCTCCAAACTCCATTTTTCTCCATTATTACAGATCACAAGTTTTTACTAGTTATTAAATGTACTATACTCTGGTGTGCAGAAGTTAATGAATGAAACAGGGAACTTACTGCTCTCGTGGCAGAAGAGGTATGAGAAAGTAATATTGGGGAGATTTTTAAAGACTATACAAAGATAGGTACACCATGTCTTCCTTCACTTAGAAAGTGAAAAAGCTCCGCTGTCAATCATAAAAAATGGGGGAAAATAGAGGAGAAGAAAAAGGTTACAGTGAGATAACTTCTGTGACAGGAATATGCAGGGCCATGGGACTAGAGGCTCTCGGTAAGTAATGGTAATAGTAAAACAGTCCTATCTTTGTTTTCATCAGAGACTGAGAAAAATATTCTTCATATTGTCAAGCTTGTTCTTTTTCTTTTTTCTTTTTCACATTAGTTGCAAGTAGGACCAAAATCCCTACAGAGTATTCCCTACATAGACTACAGAATATTCTACCAGCTTAGCAGGTCAGCTCTGCCTCAGAGGCAGCATTGGACACCCTCCTCATCCTACGGGGTCGTCGAAGGCCCATAATACACCCTGCCAACAAAGGGATACAAGGAAATCCCTGGCAACAGCTTTGAAATTTACATATTGCAATGAGCATTTTTATGATGCTCATATAAAAGAATGACTGAAGTTGGTGCTTTTTTCCAAATATTAATATTTTGGCTCTTCTCTCCTTCTGCCTCAGTCTTTAAACAGAGAGAAAACCACAAGCATTTGTTTATTTATTTATTATTTGAAGGCACTTTCATCAGCTAAGATAAACATACCCCAAGTGCTTTGCTGAGCAAGAAAAGGCTTAAACATACATATAAATACTTTCTCGAACTAGGACCTTTTCCCTTAGCATCTTTAATGATGAGAAAGAGTAAAGCAGATATTCTATTTTCTAGTGAAATAATTAAAACAGGACTTTGTCTTTTTACAGTATTATATTTAAAGTGAACACAGAAGCTGTTCACACAAGGTAAGTGTGTATTTCTAAGCTCTTTACTTACTATTTTGCAATATCAGGTCATCATATTTATTGCCATTAAAATTTCCACAGAGACCACAAGGTCTTCCCTTATGATCTTCTGTCAGCTTAATATAAATGCCAGAGTTTCCATCCCAAGCAAGAGAAAAACCAAAGGTAGTCTTCACCAGAATATAGTCAGCCAGTCTCTCAAGGAAAGCATTTCCAACTGTTTGAGGCAACGTTAATCTGGAAAAATAAACAGCCTGCTTCAAAGATTGCAGATGAGATGAGGTTAGTGCTAGAAAAATGCCACATGAAACATCACCTGCTAACTCGCTAAGCCCTTTTTCCCAGGTGTATACAGTCACTGCCATTCAGTTCTTCATTCTGTTTTTATTATCTTTCTTCTGTCTACTTCTCTGTATCAACCATCAAAAATAAATGCTTTTCTGCTGTATACACCTGTCAGTTGTACCAATTATAAGCCTGAAAGAATAACAAATCTTCATTTTCAAAGCCCAGCATGGGCACATTGAGGAGTACGTGACTTCATGCTGCGTTGCACAAGGAGTTATGTGATGCTATGATCACTAGCAGCCCTTCTGGGCACAGGATTAGACCTCTGCAAATGGAGGAACTTACAGTACAGAAAATACCATCGACCAAAATACTATATATCTTCCTCCTTTGGCCAAAAACCACCAGACAATAACATTGCAGCATGAATCTAATCCTAATCTTCAAGAATTGCTTCTGTTGGAATGAACAGTATCACTGTAGCTATCAGTCTCAGATGCTAATGGCTATAGTGTTACATCAAAGAACACTTTAACAACTCTGATATTTTCTGTACTTTATCAACCAGTAAAACATTCTTATGATAGCCTTGCGCTCATCTTTTTACTTATTAAAAAAAAAAAACAAACCCTGGTTAATTTGGGGGTTTCATGTAACTCAGAGATGTTTTTTGGAGTTTTTGCCCCAAAGGGGACTTAAGATCTTTGATTCAACCAATTCAGACTTGTCTAGAAGAAGATTATGTCTTACATTAAGTATTGCTACAAAGAATAAATAATGACTGCCTTGGTCAAAATGGTATCAGGACGCATCAAGGATTAGCTAGAACTGTCTGATGCAGACTTGTCTATGAGAAGTAGGGATGGGCAATTGTTAGCTTACACCTGAGAGGTTGAGCGCAAGGTTCATGCGGGGAGTGTATAATGTCCTCACTCAGATGTTACATCAGCACCATTATATCTGCTCACACTAGAGCTCTATCAGCCCCAATACAGAGCAGCGAGGGATCAATAAAGATACATATAAAATTATTTTCTCTGGCTGGTGTAAAAAGCATCAATTTCCCAAACTCCACACTGTCTTTTTGCAATAAAATGTTAAAACTCACCATTAGAACACTTACCTGATTCCATCTTTTCTTACTTCATGTCCTGAAATAATTATTTCTTCTTGGTTTGAAAAAAATAAGCTGATGGACCTCTGACAGGTGTATACTGAACCGTAACAGTGAGGACTGTTATGAACCTTAGAGGGGAAAAACACACACACAATAAGAATAAATGTTTTTTCTCAATAATTTCATGCAATTTTTCATAAACTCATATATGATATTTTACATTTCTATGCATCACTGAAAGAGCTTTACAAATAAATATTTGGAATATAAAAAAGTCACAATTACAAATATATGGAAAACTAGAAGTTCATGCTACCCAATACTACTGAGAAATACAGCAAGTCTTTAATGGCATCAAGTGTCACAAGACAGTGGTTTGAATGCTGGATTAAATACTTGGGTATTTTATGTAGATGAACTTCAGAGACACTGTAGTGAGCTAGTTTATAACTGCCAATGTAGGAGCTTGTTATTTGCACTGAGACACCCCTGTTGCTCCGTTTCTAGAGATCTGATCTATAAAGAGGGCACTACAAACCAATAAAAACCTCAGTGTAGTACCAGCATTCTCCATGCCATCTGAGACTGGCACCAGCTGAACTACAATATGCCTTTCTGAACCACTCAGGATTTGTTGAGATTTTGGAGTGCTCCCACAGATTACTGCAGGCATCTAAATTGCATGGATCTGTTAGAACCGATTTTGCACTGGCTTTCCAGCCCTGCTAATAGAGAAGGGCAGGCTTTTCTGAAGTCTGCCTCTCCCCATTATACATATATAGCATAGTGAGCCAGGGTATGTGTTTGAATCGCATTGTCAGCTTCCCTGGTGTGAACATAGCAATGGAAATACAAGTTTCAGCCAGCCAGAAGGAGATTTGCAAAACTGTGTGTCTCAGAGATCAGCAATGTGTGACTTCCATGACTGCCCTCTACTACAGAGAGGTGTTAAACAGATCTCAGATGCATGCTTCCAGAAATGAAAACCATGCAACTCCTGTCTCAGCATGTCTACAGTTTTATGGCAGTGAAGTAGATCTCGCATAAACAATGTATAATCAGACCTTGGAACAGACATGATAAGCCAGCACTCTTCCTTTTTATAGTCTGGCAGAAAGGAGGCTACCCTTGAAGTCAGACTTCCTTTGCATTCCCAGCTTTCGGTATGGCAAAGCATGACTCCTGCAGGAAGGTCCTTGTCCACAGAGACCCCACAGCTTTCGCAGGATGTGCTCTCAGAACTTGAAAACTCTGGGTTTAGATTTACTCTGACTGGTGACAGGGATATAGGTCTCTCAATTTCTGTGCATATGCTCTAACCAATTAACTACTACACAACTTTGAATTACAGTCACGTAGTCTAAGTGAGTTTTAAGCACATACCTACTCCAAGGGCTTGAGGAAACATCAACAGCTTTCATTAATCTTACTGGGGCTGAGCCACCCAAACCTGTGGGGTGCCTCAGACTAGGGTTCTTCAAAAGCCTGTGAGCTGATTTTAGACACCACTGAGGAGACAGGGGAATGTGTTGTGAATCTTGGATACCTATCATTACCTAAATTAAAATGTAGACAGAGTTTAGATACCTCAAATATGACTCCTATGACTGTGTGTGTCATTGTTCTCTGAGAAGGATGGGAGTTGCATTACCAGTTTATTTGACAGTGCTGTGAAGCTAAATAGATTAGTAACTGGGAAACACTTTGCCAATGTAGTAATGGAGGCTGTAAAAGTAACTAGAGCTATCGTTTTTGTAGAAAAGATCTATTGGTAAACACATACAGTGCTAACACATACTCGAATTAATCTTCCTAAACTGACACTTAATCCTGGAAGTAAAAACCAGTTATGGTTTCTTTGAGTGAAACAAACCAAACCAGGAAAAGCATTAGAGTTTTTACCTGTATAAAGATAATCACACTTAGAGACATCATAAATGTTACTTGTATTGTCAGATGGTTTCTATGTAAACCTGGCCCAAGACAGAAACACAATCAAGGAAAATAAAACCAATTCTCGTGTTTTCTTCTCCTCTAGAGAGGTGGATTATTAAAGCCAGAAGGACCATAATGTGAGGATTTGGCAAGGTTCTTGGCTCTATGTTGCCCAGCCTGTAGTGACTGCAGTGCTTCAACATTACTTATGACTTTTCTGAGTAAACATTTTCAGTTTTCAGCAAAACATTACATTTGTTCCAGCAATTGAATGGTAGTTTCTCTCTTTCCAGAGCAACTGGAATCCACTGAAATTCTGAATCTAGATTTTAACATAATCTTGGGCTTTGTTACAGCATTTTCTGAAAACTCCTAAAAGATCATATCTGCAAACAGAATCCGAAGAATTAAAATGAAATAGTGGAAGGCAGATGTAACAGCATCTGTCTATAACCTAAGTGAATAGAAACGTCAGTTTTAACAGCAGATTTATCTTCACTGGGTGCTATTATCTGGGGGGAGAGGAGGTCATGTGTTTATAAACAAAAACTAGTCCTTGGAGCAGAAATTAGCATCTAGGTCTGCCCTTGCCCCTGCAAGACTGTGACTACCAGAGCTCAGATTTAGAACCCCTCTTGTCCCCTCTCCCCTGCCCAATAAGCACCAAATCCCAATCATTTTCTAAAAAGTAACATAGTGAGTTTGTATCCTCCCCCCACAGTAACCAACAGCCTGATACATAAGGCATCTTCCTTCAAAGAGGGTATAGGTTTGAACTCTCCTTGACCCAAAGTTGTTAACCATGGATACTCAGCAATTTGAGGAAATTACTAAAAAGTGTGTCTTCCATATACAGGTCAAGATGAAGGCTTTTGATTTTAAAATTGTTAATTCTCTCTGCATGATGTAGAGATAATCCAAAATTAGAATGCAAATCCCCAGAAGGGACAGAGTTTTCTGTGGGCCAGGGAGGCAGCTCCCCATAGCGTGCTGATGGCTGTGAATCGGAGCCCAGTACACTCAGGTGCCCAGCTATCAGGCAGGTGATAGCTGTTTGCACTCTACTCAGCAACTCAATTATTTTTTAGTCTGACAGCTAAAGTTTATTGAAGTTCCCAAGGTCTGGTTTAAGACCCACTTTTGCTCCCAGGAAGGAGAGATCCTTTTTAGGACAGGGGGAGTAAGAAATACTATTTTTAATATACTGACTCTGTTGATTATTATTTCATCAGTGTTTCGAGTTACTGCACATAGGCTTAGACATTTTCCAGCAGCATAGTTTTATACTTAAGTAAGCAATGTAACAGTTTGATCCATTTATTGTCTCTCTACTTATTTTACTGCTGATGAAAAATAAGTCCTGTAATACAGGAATACTCAGTGTGTTATTTCTAGCGTATGCTCACATACTTACCCAAACAGTGTACTGGGGTTCTGGAGTACTGCAGTCTTTTGCAAAAATGTAGGAGCAATTTCCTGGGAAGTAGTAGTAGATGCCATCAAATGTTTCAAAATGATACTGTCCCCATGATTTGCAAATCCCATCTCGGTCCTTACCAGTGTTAGGTACTGGAGAGAACACACTGAGTTTACAACAAGCACAGTAATCAAAAATTGACAGGTGTCACTGGCATCTACAAAAGTAAGAGCTCAGAAAGGAAATAAAAGATTATAAAGGAAATACATAGCAAGGACAAAAGATAACCTCATTTCCTCAACTTTAAATAAAGTCAGTACATTTTTTCTAATCTTTAGGCTGCAGTTTTAGTCACGTGCAATCATCGTAAGTTTTTAATTTGCTTCAGTGGAGACATTTTGTTTATAAGTAGAGGCAAGGGATTTAGTTCTCCCGCAGATCCTGGAAGACAATTCTTCCTGATCCCTACACACAACAGATTCCAGAAACCAGTGCATTGAAATAGTTGGCAATTTCATTTGCAATAAGTCACTGTTAGAAAAATGCAGTGACTTTTTGGTTGTTCAGCTAACCATAAAAAAGCAGGCTAGGTACTGATATACTAGACAGTGATCTATCTGTTACAGTATTTATGTATCCTTACAGCCCAAGTGCTAAA